TAATAAAGTGCTGGGTTTAGATAAATGCTCCACTCACACTGTAGAAACAGTTCGGTAACAGTACTTTATTAATTACCTTTGTTAGCCACATGCTGGGTTTAGATAAATGCTTCACTCACACTGTAGAAACAGTTTGGTAACAGCATGTGGCTAACATAAGATGTACAAACAAAAACCACATCTTTGGCAAATTAAGACATGTTTATTTTCAGAGTTTTAAGAAACAATGCTTGAAAGTTAATAATGAAAAAATAGATTGATAACATTCAAAAATTATCATTATAAGTTTAATTTGTTACTAATTTGTGTAAGCTGATATTTATTAAAAACTCAACAAATGCCCTAAAACATCAATTGCTCAAACATAAACAATCCAGTATAAATATCCTTCCTCCCCCCAAAAAAATTAATAAAATTATTTGTATATATAACTATCAATGCAATTCGAATTTTCAAAACTTAAAAAACTGAAAAGTATGTGTAAGTATATGCTGTTAAATACAGCTGTATGGTCCAATTTTCTTCATTTATCCATTGTGGACTATTTCTATAAGTTCACACACATAATTTATTTAATTTTTTCAGTTTGAATTTTTAATTCAAATATTTTATTTCTGTCAAGATACAAACACCAGGAACTACACTGAAATTTAATTTGTTTTCAACTCAAAGTTCTCACAAAATTGACATTAATAATACTCTTTTATAATTTAATCTAATTAAACAAATTTTTCTATGGATTTGTGGTTTACAAGCAACTCCTCAGTAGTATGTTCCAAAAAAACAACACGTAAAATTTCCTAATCCACTATTTTGACAGTGCTTATATAGAAATAGCCAAACAATATGTTTGAAGACTTGTTTATTGAAAAGCACATCAGTAGATATACTAACAAGAAGTCAAAGCTCAAACATGCAAGTGATGTGAAATTGCAGACACTGTCTTTTCAATGCACAGTAAATGTGTAGATGAATAACTTTCAAGGTTTCAGATTTATAAAAGGAAGCTCTCAGTTATAACTCTGTTACCATATTTCAGGTTAGTATAGGGAAGCTATTCAAAGCAAACTTTGTTACACAGGATGCAACGAGGTACATCTTTTGAACCATAAAGTAATCATTTCTTGTTTTTCAAATTAAAATAATCTGCTGTAAAGGTCTCATAATATAAGCATTTTCTACTTTGTGGATACACAATCACCATTTTTTTTTTTTTACACATCCAAACAAAAACAATATTTCGAAATATTATATTGCACATTCTTCCATAACATTCCCACACCTGCCACAAATTGTATCCTGTGGTAAATACTATTTGGTATTACAAAAATTAATCACAACTAAGACTTGTCATTTAAATATATGCACTTATGGACAAGGTGACTCTGAATTAATTTCATGCATTCCATTGTATATAACTCCCAAAATGCAACACATATGCAAGCAGAATTATGTATGAACACACACATGGGATCATAGTGTGTGTCACATACAGTCAGGCCTGCTGATAGGGTGGGAGGCAAAGGGTGCAACTGCCCAGGCGAATGAAACCTGGTTATGCCATAAAGCCTGCAAAGCATCTTTAGACTATATATTCATTTAATCATCAAAAGCTTAGTTTTAGCTTCTCTTTGCATATAGATGCTTCATACATTAAGAATGATTGAATTAATAATTTGAGTAATAATAATAATATATATATATATATATATATGTTACTTTGTAGATTTAATAGATATTTGTTGTTACTTTATTAATGTTTTGACACCTATACTGTGAGCTAAAAAGAGCTACTGCTATGATTTCGCCTTGTTTATGATATCATTGCTTTCCTAATTTAGGATTTTCTTTTTAATAAGTTTTTAAAATGTTTAAAAAGAAAAAGAATGGTGGCCCGGAGAGAATGTTTGCCCCGGGTCCCATGCTGGCTCACGACGCTCCTGCTTACAGTGTGTGACATTAACTTTGATATTATTTCCTCTGTATGTAAGCTGAGAGATGCTTCAACTTGACTACAAATAGTTTCTCTTCAAGACTGCAGAGCACTAGTGAATATTTTCTGTAGTAACTAATGTATTACAGGGGAGGTTTTATGTGCTTTTTCTCACGACAGAGGTGATCGTCTAGGCCTATGTAGCTAAAGGGCTTTGTTTTAGTTCATTCAGAAACTTAGGAGACAGGACCTATGGTTTATGCACAATGAATAGGACACACACATACACCCGTGGAAGTTGTTGCAGAATTTCAACAAGGCAATCATCCTCAAGAAGAATGTAGCACCTATCATGTTGCAAAGTACACTGAATAATACCAGCAAGCTGTGCGGAAGATGGTGTGTAAGATATTAAACTTCTTACATACAAGACAGAAAGACTGTACAAACTGCCTTCTACCAAACCAAAGAAGCAGTTGAACTTTACCTTGACATTCACTGCACATGTTCAAGGTGGATGGCAATTGACAACATTTTGTAGACTGGTGAAATCCACTTCACCTCCATGGCTAAGTATACTCCAAAATTGCATTATCTAGGGTGAGACCAATCCACAATCCCTTATTGAAAGGCACTAGATAACTTAAAGGTGACTATGTATAGAGTTGGACAATTAGTAGTATTTGATTAGTAAAGTGTTTCTCAAACAGTGGTACACACAGACAAAGAAAAACAAAAAAACAATGCTGCCAGCCAGTTGCCTTCTCTCTAATCAGCAGTTCCAAATTAGTGACAATACCTTTGGCATAAAAAAAAAAAATGGGACAACTTTGGTAGCAATGCAAATTAAACCAGATACCTTTGAATCACAAGCTGGAAACACCAAAGTTGAACAAACTTGAAGTATAAACACAACAAAGAACAACTTACGAGACTAAAATTAGGCAGTGCACAGATAGCCCATTATGTAGTTTTGTACTTAACAAGAAACAAACATAACAGTAATATTTTGAATACTTGAATAGTTGTAATAATTGGAAATCCTAATTTTGATTAAATGATTATTTTTGTGACAATCGGCATAATTGGAATTCCAATTAATCTATTGTTGGAATAATTGAGAACAGTAATAATCAAACGCATTAATTTTGATTAATAGATTAGTTTATATAACACCAATTGATATAATTGCTGCTCATAAGTAATCAATTATATTGATTAAATCACCCATTTTTATGTGGGTTGGGTTTTACAAGCAGTGTCATCAATGGGATTTATTTTTTTGTAACCCTCTGTTTCTAAGAGGGTCAAATAGTAGGATATGGTGTTCATGCAAGATGGCCCACCATCACATGTTACTGTGAAGAACCAGTTATGCAAAATGTTCAGTGAATGAATCATCACTAATGGTTTCTTACAAGCTTGTTCACCACATCTCATACCTGCAGATATCTGGTTATAGTATGACTGTCTTCAGACAACTGTTGCTCTTGAATTACAGCATTCATAGCCATATTTTTGCCACCCACAAAAATCAGTTGTACGCAACTGTGTTACCTTATCAAGAAGCTGTTATTGAGAATAGTAATTAATGCTGCGAACACTTCCTGTAACGAGTTAATCCATTTTAGCAGTGTTCAAGAATGTTTGTTTCAATAAATTGGTCTTGGTAACTCCATTTTTTTTCTGCCTTCTATTACAGTTTGATTTCAGAACTTACTTAAAAGATTGACATGGTTGTTTTAGCATGACATCACAATTTTTCATTATTGATTCCATGCAGAATTTTAGTAATTAATTCCATTGCTTCTTTATGGTTTTTCACTCCATTTAACTTACTTCAATATGACATCCCTGGTCATTATTAATGATTTTCCAATTTTCTTCTCTATTTGACAAATCTGCAACTCAATAAAACCTCATAAACCTGCTGTTAATCTTCAAGTGGAAAAAAACACAATGGATAAATGTGATATTTTTGTTTAATCATCAACACCTTAAGATTTCATTTGTTTTCCTTGGAATTCATCTGAATTCCAAGTAGACTGGCTGTCATTCCCTGCTAGACGCTACAGCATCACCAGTACTTTTCTGTGTAATGTTGGTTTTTCCATCACAACACAGGATATTAAGGTCAAGTTACTATCTGATAATCACAGTATATATTTCATAACGTGTTACCAAACTGGAGCCATCACAAATTTTGTAACAGTAGAGAAATTCTCATTAGCACACTGAACATATATTATAAGGTGGTTGTTCCTTCAAAACTTTAAATTCAAGGTTGAAAAATTCTATGCCAAAATGTCTAAGATGCCTTCAAAAATTCTACTTTTTACTCTGTGCCAATTCATTATTTTCTAACAATGAAGTTACCCTAAATCCAAATCAAACAAATCCCAGTTCATATCTTAAACCCAAAACCCAAACCTTGTATCTAAACTACACCTATGGCTTCCACATCTGATCATCAAATCCAGGTAAGTGTTAAAAGCAGAGCAATTTCAATTAACCTTTCTACTGAATCCAACAAATGCTAAATTCACAGATCTTTCTTTCCGGCTAGAAATTCCTTCTAATGAATTCCACCCGACATGCCCGTAACTTCTGGATCAATTTACCAAAGACATTTATTCATTTCAAAAAGAGGTATAATTTTTTATCTGTCTACCAAAAGTTAACGCACTTTCTTGTGAACTACCTTGATTACTACTCCTTAGGCTTTCTTCAGCTCTAACTTTCCTACCATGTTAAAATTCTTCCATAGCTTCTATCATGTATATATATATATATATAAATATTTAGAACCCAGATTGCTCACAAAGCATCAATTAATTTTTTCTTTATGCGCTATCTTCTTCATTCATTATTATATCCTTGAAGCAGGAAGGGTCAAAGACACGCAATGACCCTTCCAGTTCATCTATTACTACATGCATTCCCTATGACCACACATATATGCACAATTAATTATACTAAAATATGTGTTACAGTTTGAGAGTTATAAGCAATGAAATGCACAAAGTAACTTTATAGTTACACGGTGTTAAAACCAAAAATAACATCATTTCATATCAAATAATCAACGTTTATTAAAAAGAAATTAAATACAGCTGTTTTACACTGAAGTCCACTGGTCTTTATGTCTCTGTACTTATTGAATGTGATTAAATTACATACAAAGTTCCTTTAACCATCACTCTCTCACTTTAAAAGCATCACTACTAACTGCATATGTACATCACCTTATTTTAGGTGACCTCTTACAATGTAAGTAGCAACTGAGCAAAGCCCAGATGTTAATGTCTCTAGTTCTTCTCCTTGCACATGCAGAATAAAATGGAAAATTAAAAATTAGTTAAAGTTCAATAGACTAAACTTTTCAGGATTTATGATTTGATGTAAGCCAAGTTAATCCTTCATATAGTCCATCGCCCGTTGTGGCACAAGATGGCTGCACGTACCAGTTACGGTCTCGAATGCGAGTGAGACCTAATTTTTCTTGGATTTCGTGAGGTTTCATTGCTGAAAGAACATTACAAAAATGTTAACCAAAACTTTGAAACAAAGAATATTTTTAGTTTAAAATTAACTATTTCTTAATCAAAATAGCCTTATGCTGCCAAGATATGTTTATGGCCCTGGCCTTGAGAACCCAAAAGATGCACATTAAAGTTAGTGAATATGATCTTAGCTGTTATGAAGTTATCTTGGATGTAGAGTAAACAACATATGGAAGGCATAAAATATATTACTTACACACCAATTAGTACAAGTGTGAAAAACAAACACTGCCACAAACAAATTACATATTGAAAAATACAAATCTCCTTAACCAAAATCTTATACATTTACATCTTAAATAGGCTTTCAAATAGATAAACTACAAAAACATGACATCATTGCATTAACAAATATAGAGAAGACATAACTAATTTGATTTGAATTAATACTTACCAATCCAGTCTCATTCCTGTGGATTATGTGCTCAAAAATATTTGGAACAAATAATCTGTTAAATATTTATCACAAACAATGAAAGTTACTGAGAATGTATTACTGTAAATTCTGAACTTACCTTCTGGCAGGTCTTGTTTGTTAGCAAATACTAGTATGATAGCATCCCTCATTTCTCTATCATTTATAATCTTGTGTAGTTCTTGGCGAGCTTCCTCTATCCTATCTCGGTCAGCACAATCCACAACAAAGATGAGGCCTTGAGTTCCAGTAAAATAATGCCTCCATAGTGGTCGGATTTTATCTTGTCCTCCAACATCCTAGAAAGTGAATATTTAATAATACAAAAGATTCATATTATATTTGTGCAGTTAGTTTATTTAAGCTAATTCATACTCGAAGGTAGGATTACAGGTAGAGTTGGGTGATTATCTTGATTTAATCAATACCAATGAGCATCAATGACATCAATTAGTTTCATCTTAAATAACATTTGTTCACATTACACTGAAATCATTTAATGTCATGAAAATTATCAACTTACTGACGCTGGTGTTTCTGATTTAGGTTATTTCAACAATCCAAGTAACTGAAATATTGTCATTATGATTTCTCATTATCAGTTTGGATTAATGTACAGACATTTGCCTCAACTGATCAGTGTTATGAACAACAAAAATAATCAACTAATCAAAATTAGTATTTCTGATCATTCCAAGTCTTATGTGAGAATAACCCATTAGTTGAATGTATTAGATTCCCGAGCCCAATGGTTAATAGATTAACAAATTCCACTAATCACTCGGCTTTAGTTGCAGTTAGATTATTTTAGTTAATTCAGATTTAAGAGTTGGGTCTTTTCTAAAAGAATTTGGCAAGAATTGCATGTTGAAGTAATCAGGTAAGAATAAAATGTGCATATTTGTTTCAATGCTCTACATTTTCTGATGCAAAACCTTCAACCCTCATATACAGATTCAATGAAATACTGCTTACACTTTGTCTCATACAGTACAAAAACTACATGTAATCTCAAGATATAGAAAACTCTTATGCATTTCTTTTAATGAAGAGATGCAAAATACATTCTATAAAGCTACAAAGACATTAAATGTGTGGATGTATTCAAGTAAAGATGTTTGAATGACTTTGACATGCAACTCCTATATCTATAACTGTTGATATGTACAGACTATTTTAGGAAAATGGTAAACTCACACAATCACAAAACTGGACATCAGTGCCATAAACTGATCAGTCAAATTTTAGCAGTCATAGAAACATTTTGGTTGAATATTTTGAAATTGAAAAGGAACACTACACAAGTTAAAATAAAACAAATATGAGTGAAAAGAAAATTTTAATGTGGTTAATCCTCATCAGTCACCTGGGGTCCAACCAGATCCCAGCACAAAATTACCATTATAGTAAGCTCTGGAGTGAAATTCCAAAAACCAATTGCATTACAAGTTTTATTAAGGTTAGCATGCAATGTGAACAACATAAAAATATATGTATTGTAGAGAAACTATGTTGACAATTCAAGAAATTACAAAATTACATTGTTATTCAGTATACAGATAAGTGGTATTAAACCATTCCTTATACAAACATTGTACCAAAAAATGTCGAAGTTTTACTATACTCCTATATTCAAGTCATTAACACCAATACAATTACCATAATACTACAAAATTCAACTAAAAGAAAACTGAAAACTATGGATTGAAAATTCAATAAGCAAGTTATTTACAAAAGTTATCAAACAAGGTTTCTATAAAATAGGGCATTATAAGTAGTCCACAATGCTTACCACAATGATGTTATAATCAAACACATGAGATCATACTGTACTACTTTGATGAATTATCTTCCACAACAGCCTATATAGTGAAATAAACGTTTAGAAATTTGTTTCGTATGCTATACAGTGAACTGCATGCATACTGATGGTCAATGATAGTATGGGGTCTGTGTGGATCTCAGATAAATATGGATTATAGTGATGTACTCCATCTGCCTGTTTCAAAAACAATAGTGTCATATTGATCCAGGGTTTCGGCTTGACAATTACACGAATAGATATAAATTTGTAATGATTATGTAAAAAGATATACAACCAAGAAAGTTGTTGGGGTCCATTGAACCCCATGTGTGCTGATGAGGATTAAAACATTTTGGTCAAACACTTTTAACTATTTTTTGTATTCTCTAGAAAAAAAAAGCAGTTTTCCTTCATTTGTTAGAAGAAAAAAACTACCAAAAGTTTAGAAATTACATTTGTTTATGTAATATGTTTCAGTGCTCAAGCTAGAGCTTAGTTTATAAAATATGACAACAAGAAAGAATTTCTTCTCAAAAGTAAAGAAACATTAGATAAATAGAATGTAAAACAAAGCATAATTTTTATTTACTGTTTAGTTATTATAATTTTCACTGTTGTAACTATGATATATTGATAAAGGTTTTTGTTTCATATTAATGCTTTATTTTTCTTATTTTTTTTTTTGTTTAACACGTTTATGTATAATTCTTTTATGACTTAAGACAAAAAATTACTATGATTACAATAATAAGCATATAAAAAAACTTACCCAGACATTGAACCTAACATTTTTATACGTTACAGTTTCTACATTGAAGCCTACAGTAGGTATTGTTGTAACAGACTGCCCTAGCTTTAGTTTGTATAAAACAGCTGTTACAATAGTTATGGAAAACCTTGAATGTCATTAATTAGTTTAAACAATTATATCAGAGATAAGTAAAGAAAAAACACAAATAAGGACAGAAATTTCATTAAGTACTAAAATAACATAGAAAATAAGTTTAAATATTAAAGGGGTGGGCCCAAGCCTGTTGAAAGTGATTGAACAACTAAGAGATGTTTCATCCCACCTATTATGTAGCACCTGAAGCTTACCCATGGAACAATTACTGAACCCAATTGGATGTATGAATTACAAGGGAGCATCTCATGATATTTCCCATGATGCTTCAAATGAAGAAAAATTTGCTCAACCTTGCATGCCCTCTTAAACACTAAGATTATAACAATACAATTAAAATGAAACTAATTCTACAAGCCACCAACAAGCTGAATATGTTTTGATGTAAAGTAACATCTCAGAGCTGCCATACACACTTCACTCTTTGTGATTCAGTATATCAGATAGCTCTGAAACAAAAAGGATTTCTTTTATATTCTGTACAAGGCTGTTTCATGAAACTTATTATTATGCCTGTGTCCATCAAAAGTAACCAAAGCAATAAAAACCTATTGAGTGTAGTCTCTTAGATCTATATACATATGACAAAAACTTAAATGAACTTAAACTAATAGCATTCACATCATCATTTGGTAAACTATTCTAAAAGTTTAAAATTAAAATGGAAGTATTTAAGCCAAAAAGAAAATCTGGACATTGGGTTTGAAAGTTTGAACTCATTAATGCTAAGGTCATCCAAACGTAGATTATCCAAACTTCTAAGAATCTTGAACTCCTGAATAAAGTAATCTTTAGTTTGTTTGTTTTTTATAGAAAAAAAAAACGTTTTTATGCTTCTTTATCATTCTCACAATCTTTCTCTTAAATTTTCCACTCTTCGTCTGGTAAGAAGTTTCAAACTGCACTATGGATTTTAAATGAAACCTTACCAGAGTATTATGCAAAAAATTAAAAGCTTCTAAACCTTAAATTCAAATATTTTATCAATCCAAACAGAGGTTAGTTATAAGTTTGGTTGACTGGTATTTAGCACATTAGTACCAAGACTAAATTGTAGGACAGTACAACTTTGTGAATGAACAGGGTAAAACATGGGAGAAAAATATCAGAAAAGGGAGCCAATTATATATTTGCATATGTTACATAATAGGATAAAAGCTGGATAATAAAAACTGACCAATGAATTTAATAATCATTTATGCAACGATAGAATACTGATACTAAGTCAGTATTATGTTTATGTTCATACTTTATACTAATATAATTGCTGAAATGCCTTAAGGGGAGAGCATGCAAAAAGGAAAGTACTTGCATACAGATTTATGCAGAAGGTATGTGAATAAATCATCAGCTATATGCTATTTCTTTCTAATGACATACTCTCTATATTACCAAAAATTCATTAATTTAACTTGTTTAATTTTGATACAAGAGTGTCTCAACACCTACAAACTAACTTTATAATCACTGTGCAAATACAAAATCAACAGCACTTTTCAACACAGCTAATTGCTCCAGAGAATGCTTCAAACATTTATTAATGACTATCCCTAAATCCTTATATTTTGTTATAATACCAAAAATTCCTTTCACTCAAGAAGACTTATCAAGTTTTCTATACCTCAAATGAATTTAAAGTTGTCAAAGATGGAGATCATTTATTAATTTCTAGCCCAGGTCCTTCTGGGTAAGTAAACAGTATCAATTTTTCAAAATATCTTTATGTTACCAATGAACTTGAAATACTTACTGACATGAAGCAATCCAAGATTTTCAAAAATACATTATGAAAAGAAAGGATTGGACAGTTAATTTAAGTATAAAGAATATTATTGAAACTTGGAATATTTTGCTAATTTAATGAAACTTGCTGAAAAGGGTCTTGCTCCTACAAGATGTTTGTATTCCAACCAAAAACCTCAAATTAATGGTGACAGGGATTAAACTTCTAATAAATTAAAACTCCTAGCTTACAAGAACTTGAAATTCACTACCAAAATGGAGGAAACTGAGAATTACAGATACATAGCAAATCATGTAAATAACAAGTAATAGCCCATCAGTGTTTCCATTCTCTACAATCCAGCTTTCTACAGGTAAAAGGATGGACCAAGAAAAAAGCCATGACTAAGGCTAAGAAAAGTGTCAAAATTTCTTCACTCAAAACTCTGAATTCAAATTAACTTTGATGGTTTTTCTTATGCTTAACTGCATCAATAGAGTTTAGGATAGCATTATTCCTTTAAGAGATTTTGAAGAGAAACATATTAAGAAAGAAATTAATATGACTAAGGAGTAAACAATTTTTTCTCTAGTTTTTATTACTGAAGACGAGGAAGAAATTCCAAAATTGATAAAAATTCTTAAACTTTGGGGAATAGTTACTTAAATACTATTTACATTGAAGTAGCAGTCTCAGAAAAATGTGTGTGTGATGTCTTGAGAAATAAAGCTCTTGAGCAATTTTAAATTCTTGGTGAAGCTTAGTAATGAGTAAGTAGGAGGTTGAACAAACTTATGTTTTAAAGAAGTCTCTCTGCATCGCAGAAATTACTAATGATTAAAAAATTGCCAAACTGAGCTCTAGCTATAAACAAAGTGTCAAGGGAAGACCCATGAATACTTAAATGTACCATCACATCTAAATGAATGCAGAAAATAACTTAACCATTATGTAGATTATGAAAAAGATAACAATATTTGATGAAGAAAATGCTGTACACAAATGAAAACTTAAAGTATTGTTATGTCTCCGTTTGTTAATTAACTTTCCGTAACTTCGTTTGGACGAAACTTTAGCGACACAAGTATTTACTTAATAAAACTGGTTTATTCTTTCCGAATACAACTTTACAATACACTTATTTTCAACAATCGCGCTAAAACAAAAGCTATATCAACGAACATCAACAATACTTCTGACTGCAGTTCAATTACTCACTATCTTCACACACACATTACCGCGTCACGTTGTCACCCTCTTTTATATACCCGACTACCCTATATCTAGTAAATACTAGAGCATTCGCCAAAGTACAGGATAATTCTAGAAAGTAGAGAGCGTGAGAATCACATGATCTCGATGACGCAACAGTATTTTAATAGAAATTCACAAATCTAACATCAGTATTTATAAATGAAATCCCCATTATCTTTACTGAACACCCTGAACATGTGACATCTTTTTAAATAACTTAAAAGTCAGTGTAGAATCTAACTAATTATACAACCTTTTGTGTAGCACTTTATTAAAACTTTTGAAAAGTCAAAATGCACATCTACCACAATATTCTGATAAAAAAAAAAATTATCTCTTAAAAATGTATTAAGTATGTTAAACAAAATACCTCTTGCTAAAACTGCACTGAGCATTGTTTACTGAATTCCAACTTTTAAATGTTTTCCAAATGATTCCTAACAAAATACCTCTTGCTAAAACTGCACTGAGCATTGTTTACTAAATTCCAACTTTTAAATGCTTTCCAAATGATTCCTAACAAAATACCTCATGCTAAAACTGCACTGAGCATTGTTTACTAAATTCCAACTTTTAAATGTTTTCCAAATGATTCCTAACAAAATACCTCTTGCTAAAACTGCACTGAGCATTGTTTACTAAATTGCAACTTTTAAATGCTTTCCAAATGATTCCTAAAAATCTTACTGGAATTTGGATTGTTACTCTAAAGTATCCAGAGCTTTTCTGCAACAACAATTTATCCAATAAAGATGTATTTAAAGATAAGCTTTTTCCAACTTTAAAGAAATTAATTAGATTAAATATCTTATTTCATTCAGCATAAAAACAGTAAACCATTGTTAAATGTTTCAACTTTATTTCTTGCCTTTTAAGATACTCATTAAAATCTCACTAAAAATCCAATAATATGTTTTTTTATAGCATTCATCTAAGCATAAAAATCCTTCAAATCAAATTTGATTGTTTGAACTCAAAGATTTTCTTAATCTTTTTCTTTAAGAATAGCTTTTTTAAATTTTTTCAGTAAATCTCAATATTATATTTTATTAATAAATTTCAAATTTCTTCAACATTATTTAAAGCTAAATCTGCCAAATGAATTTATATTAAAACAGGATCTAAGATATTTCTCCTTTCGAACAGACTTGTGTAGCTTTTGTATAATCACATACAAATCAAAACTTTAATAAACTATGCACATTTAGTTTACAAATGCAAGCATGTTACTTTTACTAACTTAAAATAACATCATATAAATGGAAACCTTAATTTTAAGGTACTTTACTGAGCAAGCTGAAATTGTAAATAATGTTCAATTATGAATCAACTTCTTTACTGAAATTATTCAATTATCCATCATAATATATTCAATATCTCATAATATATCCAAAAGTCAATAAACTTCCAAATGGATAAACCAACAAATTCTGTGTATTTTCAAGTTTTTTTTTTATTTTGTATAGTTTGCAAAGTAAGTAGTGCTAATTCCATGTCTTAACCTTTTAATTTAACAACAGTTAAACAGAAATGTCAGACTTAAAAAATGCACAATTATCTTAAAAGGATACTTGTTTTTCCTGCTGCATCTAAGCCAAGCATAAGAATTCTCATTTCTTTGTTTCCAAAGATTTTTGACAAAAACTTTCCCATCTTACAGTCAAAAAGATAACACTAAAATTAGCAAAAGAAAGAAAGATAAATGGCACTTTATTTATTACTTTAGTATATGTACATAATTATTTAATACCAGTTATAGATGAAAAATTTTAATGTTTTACACAACTTTTGCACATAAATCACATTGGATCCATCATAAAAACTCATGTCCAGTCACTACACTATTAATTATTCTTAATATCATGTTTATGTAGATCAAATATAACGAAATGCATTTTGTATATAAAATGAGAAATATTACTTGTATTACACAAGTTACAACTTTACATTTACATCATATAATTAAAAAAGTACAATTTAATCTAACAATTTAAATGTATAGCTTAATAAAATATTTAAATAATCAAGTCGCAACTTACAATATACACAGTGTACTACACTTGTATACATTACAGTTGGGCTTACCACTGTAGTTTATACTTAGCGTCGAAACCCAGCCCATATAATTCCGTTGAGAATGCACATATCTTGGAGAAATGTTAATTAAATGCGGGAGGGTTTAATAACACTCAAATAATAATATAACGTTAAAATCAGGACAACAGTTAAAACACTATCGTACTGATATTTATTGAGAAATATTTTATCAACTATATAAAAACAAATAAATAATAACTCGACATTATTTTAAATTACCCATACGCTCACAATTTGCCTCAAACTTTAATAAAATGTTCATGTTCTTAACATTTTGTTTCAACAAACGCAAATCTTATGTCAGAGCGCCCTCTACTGCGTTTAGAAACAGGACTGTTAATAATGAAGATGTAGACGTTTGACAAAAACACAAAACATTCTATTTACAATCTTCGAACGTTTCGGAATACACTTATTCCATCTTCAGTGAAATCTGAGAATATAATAGTGTTACAAAGATATTTATCAACTAAAACTATAGCATCATTAATCACTAGTTAACTTAGCTATTACGTAAAGTGGCCGAAGGAAGGATAAGACCAAAAAGTATTTATAGATATACTGCGGAACAGTTGAGTTTTAAGTGTGTAAACTAGAATAATTTTAGATCTAAAGATGCTTGTAAGTTGTTATGAGTAGGGCGGTCTTTAGCTATCAGTAAACCTTTTTTAATGTATAATTCAAGGTCTGAAGTTCTGTAGTAATGACAAAGAAACTTTAAATGAAATATTGTGATCCGTGGTTTCAATATACTTTTACGTATCTGCTCATTTGTTAATTTCCGGTATAAATTATTTCCGAAGAACTTCAGCGACACAAGTTTTTTTAAATTAAAAGTAGTTTATTCTATCTAGATATAACTTTGAAATACACAGAATTTTCACAGTCAATACGTTCGCAATCTCGATAACAAAAACACACTTTATGTTACCGTCACTACCGTTCGCTTGACTCAATTATCTGTCTCTATATCTATCTATCTATCTATCTATATCTGCAATGGCGCTGGTTTTTCTCGCCAGGCTTATATACTAAAAAAGAGGGCGCCTCGAACAAACTCGGGCCTCCCCGATAATTCATGATCCTTCCAGAAACTACAGCGCGCATGCTCCCAGCGTCACGCGAATTACGCTATCGTAACACTGCCCCTTCCTTAGTATTGTTCGTCCCGAACAATAGCTACTTACATTAAACCAATAGATAATTAACAGTAACTTAATTAAATGTACAGAATTTACAAACACAAAATTAAAATACAACAAAGTCTCCTAATTTTACAGGATGTATCTTCTTCCGTACTGGTCTCCGTCTCGTTGACTTCTGCTTCATGTGGGGTTCGTCTGCTCCATCAGGAAATGTCCCATTATCGGTAGGAGTCACATCAGTGGTAGTAACTTCATTAACGGCTTCACTGTTTTCCTTCTCAAAACCGGGTAGAGTTTCTTCTTCGACAGTGGCTTTTTCAGGTGACAAGTCTTTAGCAGCGTCATTTGTTCCGTTGTCCACTTTGTTCCAACTAAAATGACCTGGACCGTGATAACTCCAAAGCCTGTTGGCATGCACCACCTTTGGTTTACTTCGCCGACCACATTTTGTTCGCAAAGTCACGTCTGAGAGACGATCCACTATGTCATATGGGCCTTCCCATGGAGTAGACAACTTAGGAGGCTTCTCTTTGGTCTTCCTGGGATTATACAACCACACCTTGTCACCTGGTACAAAGCTGACTTCAGTAGATCTCTTATCATAACATAGCTTCATGGAATACGAACCAATAATGGGCGGCAGGGTTTAAATAGTGGACAGTCAGTTCTGTTGGGTACTCCTAGATGTTCACATTCTCTAGTTTTCAAGTGGTGTTTTGTTTTGCCAGTGTACGTGACCTTACAGTCACTACATGTATACTTATTTACGAGTCATGAATATAGAAATTTAGGTAGTTGATCTTTATATTGGAATAAGTTTATAATGCGGAGGCTAGGTCTATATGTTAGTCTGAGCTGAATTTGAAGGTAGAAGTTTTTTATTAAAGAGGAGAGTTGTTTTTTTTTAATTTGTAAGGATTGTGAACCCATAAAAGGAAGGAACGGTATGCAAAATGACTGGTGGTTGGAATTTGTTATTTAGGAAATTGCGTGTAATCTTCTTTAAAAACTCAATCAGATAGCCATTATTTAATGTGCGTTTGTGTAAAAGAGTAATTTGTTCGTGTAAAATGAATAATTTGAACAATGCTTTGTATTTTTTCCCTTTTAATTCCTCAACTTTGTCATTATTCAATTCAAACAATAATAGTTTCCGATTAGAGTAAACTATTTTCTTCGAGCGAAAGTAAAAATTAATCTGACGGTCACCATAGCTAGTTAAATATAATTTTCTTACGTATCTACTAAGATAAATTAAAACCCATTGATTTATCAATTGGGTATCCTCGTTGTTAAAAATATTTTCGGTTGTAAACCCAGTAATATCTCACAATATTCGGCCATCTTTGTAGAAT